TTTTTTTTTTTTTTTTGTTTTTTTTTTTTTTTTTTTTCAAGAGTATAATTCACATGGTTAATCTCAAATTTGTCAAGTTATTTCTTTGATTTTAAAACATTTGTCATTACAATCCGGCGATTGCTCTCTTAATTGCATCAACATTTTGATTCTTAAAATTTGGACATTATCATCTGGAATAGTTCAGGACGAACGGATTTACAGAGGTACTTATTGCTTTTGTATTGCCGACATGTTTTCTCATCAATCATGCATAACCCGCATCCCAATAATTATCAAACTATTACGTATATATAGTCCCCTCAACCCAGCTGTGCCATTTACCCTCTTCATTGTAAACAAATAAATATAATTTCATTGATATATCAATATTAATATACTCTCTCATTTTATTTGGCACGAGCTCAACGCATTCCTCTATGTGAAAGATCAGCCTTACTGTTTCTTATCTCGTTTTCTCCGCAATTATTGCCACACAATTCATTATTCAATGGTAGTTGACATTAAATGACCGGTCACCCAGATGAATCGATAAATAACAAAATATCAGGTATATATATATATAGCTCAAACGATTTGTGTTTTCGAGGAATATCTCCGAATTTTCCCTAAAATTTTCCCTTCTGCCTTAGATTTCAAGATATTCATCGAAAACCAATTAATAAGCGACGTAATAACAAAATTTGAGGGGGAGGATGAGCAAAAGTCTCTCTACTGCTCCGAATTAAATCACGGCATTTAGGAATCTGTACAAATTTAAATACAATCATTTCTCCCTTTCATTTATTTTTGCAAATAAGATGAGATAATGAAAGACAGGACTGCAGTTTAAATTTGAGTTGTTTCTCACCGAATCTCTGAGAGAGAGATTGAGATTACTTTCGATATTATTCCATCGAAATAAAATGGACAGATCGACGAGTCGACGACGACGCAACATCTTCAATTCATCGCGATTGCTTTAATCTGGTTCTTATTACTCTGGATTAAAATTTTACGCTAGATTTTTTCCTTAATTTTCTCGAGGTTTCTAGCTACTTCCACTTATCTAGCCGACGAGTATCGACACTGGAGTGTCAGGAGTTGTCTAAGAATATTTGTTGGGGTGAGATTTTGAGACAACTAGTGAGAACTAGGAGAGATTGAGGCATTAGTGAAGTGGCCAAGTGGGGAAAAGGTTTTTAGGTCTAGGTTTTTTACAAAAAAATGTATTCAACATCAACATTTTTTTGTGGAATTATTTCCTGTCGAGATATTTCAACATTTCTGGAGAAATGACTATTTAATTAGCTACAAAATTGTTTTATAAAATTTTCCTCTAAAACCCCTCATTATCAACATAATTAAACAATTTAAAAAAAAAAAATTTCCTCCAAACCCACTCCCGGAGCCAATCCACTGCAAACAAAAAAAAACAAGTTGCAAGCCCTTGACCCCCTCTTCACTACTTCATTAACGAACCCGATCGCCAATTATTGAAAATTATCCAAGAGAAAACAATTGCATTCCCCGCATAATTCTATATTCATCAATATTGCACACTTGAGCAAACGATCGCTCTCTTAAGCGAGCGCACAATGTGGTGTGTCTCTGAGACTTGTTTAATTAATAAATAGGTACTTTAACGTTATTCATCATAAATACAAGGAAGATTCATTCATCCAATCGCTTCTTGTTATTCATTTGGCACTGATTTACGTGAGAGACTCATCTCCTCATTATGTTATCCGGTGATTGGAACGCGCAATCATCATTAGTTTATTTACAAATAAATATCTGTTTCGTATTCACAGCGAAAGTGGAGACTCGATTATTTTTATATGGAACTTTATACCAGAAAAAATGGTCTTTCGGTTCAATATTTTGGCTTGAGTTGCTTGAGAAGACGTGCTTTGGCACTCGATTTTTCTTTTATCGTTAATTGATTCAGCTGTTCATTACTGTGGAACGTCTGGAGTAGCCCCTTCTGGTTACGGTCTCACCTTGGGCCTCACATTCACGTTTCACACGGTCTATTATATCCGCAACGAGCTTCTCTTCTTTTTCACGCTGCTGCTCCCAATCCGGTCCTTTTCCCAACTGGAAGATCAAAATTTAAGAATGAGAGATAATTGGAGGCAAGAGCTAAGGGGAAAATGTCGCAGGACTTTTTTTTTTCTGGGGAATTCTGTGGGCTACAAAAAAGGTCGTATGAATTTTTTTTTTCATTTTTTTTTTATAAAACTCGTGGTTGTCGAAATAATTTAGGAATTATGGATGACAAATGAGTGCAACGATTTGAGGGAAATGAAGAATTTTTGTTAATTTTACAATTATCTGGGTGAGCGAAGTTGAGTTATGATGAAATGTCGTAAGACACTTTTTGTGGAGAATGGGAAAGAAAATTTCCAAGCCCTAGCAAAAATTTTTTTCCGAGATATCTGCCAAAAAGCCAAAAAAAATACTAACATCAGAGGATCTCCGTGATTTTTTATTAGCTGTCTCCTCCCTGTTCTCATCATTCTCATTATCCGAGTGTCTCGAGCTGAGATGTCCAATGTAGCCCTTCCGCGACTTGAAGTACGCATTACAGCTGTGGCACTTGAACAGGGGTGCGGGTTGAGTAACTTGGCTGGTAACATGCAGCTTGTACTTGTGCCTGTACCACCTTGTCCTCGATGGCAAGACCTCACCGCACCACTTGCAGACTACGGAACCGTCGTTTTGTATGAGGTATTCCAGCAGCTTGTAAAACAATTTATTTCATTTTCTCTTTTTTCCCCCATTTTCGGCGCTTTTACTACCTCCAAGCGGATTTTTTTAATCACTTTCCAATTTACTATTTTGTTTTGCTCGAGCCAATTGTGTTGATGTGATCTGTGTGCCTGCTTCCTGTTTCGTGACTAGCCAATTGAATGATAAAATGTCGAGTATGCCAATAAATAAATTAATAAATCAATACATAATTGAATAAATTAATTAACAGAGTGAACATTTTATTACGATGGGGGAGACAATTTCACTTGAGAGGCTGCGGTTATAAAAAAACAACCACTGAAAGGCAAAAAATAATGTTGAAAAAACAATTTGTTCGTTCTCTAGAAACTCGATGGAACGAGTTGAAAACAATTTGAATAGAATAAATAATTTTGAGAAATATTTAAAAACGCGAGGTGGTTGATATATAGCAGTAGCCGCCATTTTGCTCCCTCTCCGCAAGGGGCTGCCAAAATGGCGGCGCCCCAACTTCACATTTTCAATGATTTCGTAAAATCATTCATCTCTCTCAGATCATCCTCAAGTCACTTCATTCCGTTTCTATAAAGTGAAACGGAAATGCTTTCTGCATTTTAATATTTTTTTCTTTGCTATCGAGACCGGACTCGAGATTAAGATTCGAGACATTTCCCGAAACCTCAAGTCCAACTGCTCCAATCATGCCATCATCTAAAAACAATCAACAAAAAATATAATAAATAATAAATGTTTCTTCAATAACCGCCAAATCGAGTAATTGGGCTCCCCCCTAACGACCATAATCAATTAACATTAACTAATTATTTGTTATATTCGCCAATTTCTCATTCTACGAGTCCCGCGGAAACGCCTGGCTGTGGCCCCCCTGGTTTTCCTTTTAGCAGTGACACCACCAACCTGTTTTTTCACTTCTGGCTCGGTGTCACTCGCGTCAGACTTTGGCACTAGGAGTTCCACGCGCTCGTCCTCCTCCTGGTCTGTGAGAAAGTGAATGCCACTGATTCTCTCGGTCTTGATGTAGCGAGTCGTATCGCCAGGGCGACTGTCCTCGTTAGCGCCGTCGACGCTTATGTCACAGTCCGGGGATTCCCCGTTGTTGGGTTGGGTCAATTCTGGGAGACTCTCCTCACGGGTCTGGGGGGACTCACAGAGCTCGAAGGTTATATCCGCTGGAAGGGTTGGAAGCAAATCTGCAGGGAAGAGAAGAAGAGCGGGTGGGTTTGTTAGTTTTTTGGGGTTTTCATTGATTGTTAGAGACATTTTGAGAAAAAATTTGAGGGGAGGGGTTTATGGGAAAGTGTGGCGATTTTTTTTTCAGAGAATTTCGATGGTTACGGATCAAATGACCTTCTGTAGACACGGGTTCAACTCGATAGACCCTTGAGACCATTTCATTCTCAAAGTTGATCATTTTCAAGGGTCAAAAAAAAAAACAACAAAAATATGTAATTTGTTTAATTTTAATTATTTAATGAAGGAAGTGCTCGTAGATACAAGAAAAAAAAACTCGGTCGGGTAGACTATTGCAATGTATATCACAAAGAGTTACAAAGAAACTACAATTAGATAAAAACAAATAAGGATATCATTAATTTTTTTCATCATATAATTCGCTTCGCCACCAGGCACCATGGTAATAGGTACATAGGTACATAATATTATACATAGAACACTCATCGCATCTGTCTATTAGAAACTCCTCGCCAAATCTTCAATTATTATTACTATCAAATGTGCAGTTTAACATAAATCATTTATTTTATTATATTCCCTCCATAAACATTAATTTTAATATCAAACGACGGACAATGTTTCGTGCTTCTATAATACAAAAGTTGTTTTCATTTATTTATATATACGTATGCAAATAAAACGTTCAATTGTATCGGACGATTAATTAGGGAAGTGTGAGGCAAATCAAGTTTTTTCCATCTCTTGGTTCCATTTTATCTCACCCTTTCCTCCTCAATCTCCAAATACATGAATACGTTGAGAAGCCTCATGAGTAAAAAAAAAAAAGGTGCCATGAATTCTCAGCCAAAAGGAGATGGAAAAATTTGAAAGATGACTTTTAAAAAATGGTTCACTTCATAGAAACCTGATTAATTAAACTGAGGGTGATCTGAAGAGGTAAAATAATTTTAACAAATGTTTAAAAATGCGAGGTGAGGGCGCCGCCATCTTGGATGTCCCTTGCGACAGAGGGAGAGGGGAGGGGGATATCGAAGTGAGATGGCGGCTCCCTTGTATCTCTCAACATATCCTACAATTATTCATCTGCTTCAGATTGTCTAATCATCTTTTGCACTTCAGCATTTTTTTCTCACTTCCAAAGCCTCTCAACCCAATTTCCGTGCTGAACAGGTCAACGAATTACATTCGATCATGATTACCTAGCAGCGAAACTCTCATTCCCGGGGAACTGACGAAAATGAAAAAATAAAAATACCATTGTCCATTTTGAATAATAAAAAATAATAATAAACGGTCGATGGACCACATCTCCATTCCACTTATAAGCCTACGTGAATCATCCTACATTACACCCCTAACAACGTTAAATAAAATATATTCATCATTGTATATAATATAAACTTCATTTTCCATGTGAAATATGCGTCATAGCATTCCTACATCTGTGCATTATAATAAATCGTTACTAGTACCCGATGTTAAATTTTTTTTAAAGGAAATAATAAAGAAATTGTTGTATTATTAACTCAATGCTGTGATATATCCATATAAATCTATGACATATCCTAGAGCGAATAAATCTTGAATGTATTTTTTCTTTTAATATGAAATAAAAAGTAAATAAACAATGTGAAAGTATTAATTCGTGGGTGAAAGATAAAATTATGAGAATATTTAACATTAGTTCGTCCTCGATTCAACCATCCACTGGATGACTCGTTAATCATTTTTTATCTCGTCGTTAAACATATCTTCAACTAGGGATAATATATTTGTATATTTTTTACTTCGTTTAAATCACTTCATCAGTTGCGAAAAATCGAGGGACCCTTTACTCAAATTTTAACGTTTTTTAAATATATATATATATATATTTTTTTTTTTTCATTGATAAATCAATTAAGTTATCCGCGCTAGATAATTCTGGTCATTGGAAAAAAATTTTTTAAAGGAAGACTCCAATTTTTACTGCACTTGGAAGACGTTTTTGTGCTATTTTTTTCCCTCCATTTTAGGTAATTGCACGGTGCAATGTTTCTTTTCTCTAATTATCTAGTCTTTTTAATGAATTTTAATTTTTGTCAAAATAGAAAATATTAACAGCTAGTGATAGTTCAACGCCCCCATCAGTGATTTCAATTAGTTATTTATTCATTCTCTTAAATAAACTAAGATATATATTTTCTCAATGAAATAATGTGCGCACTAGGCTCTATAATACATTTTACTCCCCATGAAAATAAAAAGTAAACTGTACAGGATAATAGAAATACTGCTGGGCAGTACGAAACGTCTTCATGAACATTCGATTTTTTTCATAACTAATTCAGTGAATAACTTCATGCTAATTAATAAGTATAAGTGATAACAATCGAATGATCAGGTATAAATGATTTATATTTCTGGGTTTAAATTGTTTTTTTTTCTTTTTTGCATCTAGCAATAATAGCTAACGTCGATAAACGTTTCGCACCATTGGAATTTTATATTTATAACAGGAGGGAGGGGAAGACGTTTGGGGAGGGGTGGGGGAAGATACGAGATTTGTGAAAAATTAGGTTATGGGGGAGAGATTTAGAGTGATGGGAGAATTCATTTTTCGGGGAAGAGTATAGATTTAGAAACATTGGGCTTTGCCATGATTTTGGTTTTTTCATTTCATAAATTCTTTCAAAAATTTGGTGAGGATTATGTAGGATGTTCTATCCTCTTATAAATTTTGATAAAACAATTTTCATGATTTCGTCAATTTCTTTTCTTTCGCAAGTTTTTTGTGAATATTTAAACGATTTTAGAAGACCTTTTTTTTTTAGGAAATTTGAAGGGCTTCAAAAAAAGGTCCTCGTGACGATTTTTCTAGCTCCTGTAGATTTCTAGACATGTATCAAATATTCCATGATTCAATTTTTTTTCGGTTCAGCTACTCGTCATTTATTCTTTCAATTCCCCAGAAACTCCTTCCACAAACCTGTCATCCCTCCAAGCTCCTAACCATCTGGGACGGAAGAGTGAAAAAAAAATTGATAACTGAGAGAATCGTGGAGGCAGTGGCAACCTCGGGGAAGGTTCTAATACAACAGAAAGCAGAAACACAAGTATCTAAAAAAGTGGATTACAGTACTAGGCCCATAAAGTATTTTACGAAAGAGAAAAAGCGCTACTCATTTTATTACTATTCAGGAAACTTTTTGTTTTGGTGTTAGATGCGGGTCAAACGGCCCTTGAGGACCGTGAGGGATGAGGTATTGTGACTATAACACCATTTAACCCTCAATTAAAAACTAAAAATCTAAGGCTTGATGAATTGTACTAAATATCTCCTGCATTAAAAAACAAAAAAATGGAAGGGTCAGAGGGAAAAATAAACCTTCTTAAGGGCTGTTTAACCCTCACCTTGAAAGGTCCTCAAGCATCGTTTGACACTCAGCTGAGTAACTGAGAACGAAAAAAAAGTTTCCTGAATCGCACTAAATCTCTCTTTCAAGGATCAAAAGAATCCGTTTGACCCTTTGCCCTTCTAAAAACCTCGTTCGTCTCTTGGTGGCTTTTTCAAGGATCAAAAGGGTTCATTAGAGCCTCAAAGGGTCTAATCAAACCACCCCCTATTAATACTTTGTGAGCCACGTAACATCCAACAATCAATCCCCATTAAACCTTCCCCCAATTAACTACCGATTCCCGGAATTCCCCGATTCAGGGAGGAAGATAGAAGCCAAAGGGCATGACACAGTCCTTGGGCATGAAGCAGTCGTGAACTGTCTTCATGTGATTTTTCATTTTATCGGGCCTCGAGAACTCCTTGCCACAAACGGGACAGGGGAAGACCTTTCGCTGATGGCCCTCGTGGTACAAAAAGGCATGTCTCTGGAAGCTATATTTATTTTTAAATGTCTTCTGAATGTCGAGTTTAGCGCACTCTGTGCACTGGTAAACCCCCTCTGATATGGAGGCATAACGGAAGAGATTGAGGCCCCGCACTGACATCTCCGTCAGCTGTTCGGCTGGGTCTTGAGATTGTGAAGTGGCTCGTCGACGCATGCGCCTTTTCGGCACTTGTCGGCCTGTCGGGGCCGACATGGCCCCCTCCGCTGGCGACTGATTCGCTGGGGTCCCAGTGGAAGGGGTAGCCCTACCTGTTGCTGGAGAGGAGGGGGCACTTCGCTGGGAGGTGGTGGTAGTTGTCGTCGTAGTTGACGTCTGCGCTGTTGAGGGAGTGGATGTTGTTGTTGGTGTTGAGGATGGGCTTGATGTCGTCGTCGGGGTTAAACGAGACGGCTCCGATGGAGTGGGGGTGGTTGGGGGACTCGCTCGTCCTGAACTACCCGCTGTTGAATCCCTACCTCGAGCTTTTTCTTTCCAGGTGTCCGAGGACATGTCGGATTTGTCGGATTTGTTGGATCCTGGGGATGCGAATTCTGGGGGAAGAGAAGAGGCTCGTTAGTTTTGAGAGGCCAAGGGGGCGACGCTGAGGTTTTTTGGTGAAGTAGTGCAAGTGGCGTAGCGTAAAATGGTTCATGTTGACTGACATTCAACATTTCCAATGAAATCAACAAAATGAATAAAATTTAACTATTTTTTTACGTTTCACCACTTCACTACTGAAATAAAAATGAAAATTACGTGATTTCAATAATAATAATAATAATATCATCATGCACAGCACTACTCTAGCAGGCCTTAACGCTAAGTGGAAAGGTATAAAGAAAAAGTAAACAACAAATAAATAAAATCAAAATTATATATAGCATTCTTTAATAACTGCGCGACAACGTTTTATATAGAATATTTATTTTCTCATTCATATATGTTCTCTGTGCATCCACTCATCGATTAAACCACGGTATAATAACATCATTACGACGTTATATATCATAAAACCATGACAAACGTGCACAATATAAAACAACATAAAATAGCACGTCGACGTATCTACGAATTCAATTAAAATATAATAATAAAGAAGAGAAAAAAAAAACGATAATGAAACATCAATGAG